ATCCGAAATTGTCGGCTCGACTAGAAACTGCTCGCTCCGGAGCTGCTGAACCCCAAACCCTAAACCCTAATCCCAAAACCCTAAACCCTATTCCCCTAAACCCTAAACCCCTAAACCCCTAAACCCCAAACCCGGGCACTCCACGCGCCTCGGTGCGCTGAAAAGTTGGACAAGAGCGCCTCCGAGACCTGGGAACCAGAAGGGAAAGACGAGGAACGGCTGAGGTTTTGTTTTCAAGGTGTTTAAGGTTTAGGCTATAGGGTTTAGGGATTTAGGTTTAAGGTTTAGGGTATAGGGGTTTAGGGTCTAGGGTTTAGGGTGTAGGGGTTAGCGTTTTTCATGGTTTAGGTTGTAGGGGTTAGGGTTTAGGGGTTTAGGGTGTAGGGTTTAGGGGTAAAGGTGAAAGGTTTAGGGCCTAGTTTAGGGGTGGGGAAGAAGAGTAACAGCTTACAGTAGAAGCCCAAAACTTCGAAACCCAAGAGCTTCACTTCACGTCACTGCCTGCGGACACATCCTATCCGTTTCGGTTTAGGGTTTAGGGTTTAGGGTTTAGGGTTTGGGACACACTCGGTGCCAATAAGCCAAAGAACCCTTGGGAAAAACCCTAACACCTAAAGCCTAAACCCTAACGCAACCTGGAACCATCCCGAGAAGCCTTGTAGAGAGCTTATTACTCCCCTTAAGCCGAGCTCCGAACCCCTGCGGTGGATGATAGATATATATATATATATATATCTATCTATCTATGTCCTGCATTACCCATAATAAGGAATAGACCATAACTCCCATAGCTTAGGGTCCCTAAGGTTATGCTAAGGATCCCTAAACCGTAAACCCTAAACCCTATATCATCAACTGTAGCTCCCAAATCCTGCCGCCCAACTCCGCAGTCCCAAACCCCAAAACCCTAAGCCCGAAACTTGAACCCTCTAAACCCTTATTTAGGGTTTATTTAGGGTTTATTTAGGGTTTATTTAGGGTTTATTTAGGGCTTATTTAGGGTTTATTTAGGGTTTAGGCTAAACCCGAAACCCCCGAAAAAGGTTGGAAGAGCCGGATTAAGGACAGAGCAGGGCTGGGATTTACTCAACATTACTCTTCAGGATTGAGGGTTCTTGGTTTCCAACTCTTGGGCTTCTACTGTAGCCCCTAAACCCTAAACCTAAACCCTATACCCTATACCCTAAACCCTGAACCCAAAACCGTAAACCCCAAACCCTAATCTATAGAAACCTTCTAGCCTATAGCAACGTCAAAGCTGCATCCCTCAAAGTAAACGTATGCAGTGCTTCTGTATGGGTAGTCCTCTAAACAGGGTCCGTCGTAGGGTCCTTTTCATAAGGGAGCCACACTATTTTGGGGACCTGAAAAAGGGACCCCAATTCAGAGAACTACCTAAACCCTAAACCCTGAACCCTAAACCCCAAACCCTAAACCCTAAACTGCTAAACCCTAAACCCTAAACCCTAAACCCCAAACCCCAAACCCTAAACCCCAGATTCTGTCCCCATGAGAGCTTTCGCAAGCACCTAGGAGCGACTTTAGTGGTCAGAGTTCCTGAGCCTCCGTTCCATCCATCCACGCTTGAGGGTTTAGGGTTTAGGGTGTTTAGGGTTTAGGGCTTAGGATTTAGGGTGCTTAGGGTTTAGGGTTTAGGGCTGAGGGGAGGGTCGAGGGATTAGGGTTCAGGGTTTAGGGTTTAGGGTTGAGGGTCGAGGGATTAGAATTCAGGGTTTAGGGTTTAGGGTTGCGGGTCTGGGCCTTAAGATTTGCAGGGTCTAGGGGATAAGCCCGGAACCAAAGCTCGTATCTCCAGTCCCTGGACGGCAGCGTGGAGCGTGGGTTCGCAAGGATTGCGGATCAATCTTCCAGCGGATAACCCGAAACATCATGCAGCAGAATTTTTTGGCGCTCTCGTGCGATTGCAGCCGTGTGACGTCATCTTGAAGTGATATATACAAAGGGGACTTGAAAGTTGGAATAGGGCTTGGAGTGCTTGATATATAGGGGCCTTGATAAGTGCTAGTAGGGGTTTGGCGTTTGGATATAATATTTTAGAATCAAATAGGGACTCAAACAAAAAAACTATTCTAATTAGTAATGCCCCTACATTACTAGAGTACAGTGAATAGGAACTACAACCTCATATCATCCTTCTTGTTCTTACTGTTCGTTCAGACCCCTATATATTACGCAGGCGACGAATGAGCCGCACAGGTATGACGAGAAGGAGAACGAGCAAGATGAGGCCCACTCTGATGAGGACGTAGTAGACGAATTTTTTCCAGAGGCGCGACAGCAGGCGTCTTTCGTTGTCAAGCAACAAATGCACGATCTGCACATGCCGCCTGCATCTGAAAGACGACCCCGTTGCAACTGCATACATGTAGTACGCAAAGTTCATCCGCTCAGACAGTGGCGGCATCTCGAAAGATAAGATTGCTGCCTGGAAGAACGGAGTTTTCCCCCTGCTTCTGGAACGCTTTTCCACATCCGCACCAGCCTCCACTAATAGCCTGGCAATCTCCACATGGCCTTTCTGACAAGCAGTGAGAATCGGCGTGCCACACTCCCAAACATTCTCAGACTCCACGACGATGTCCAAGTTGACACCGGCGCTTAACAGCATTCTCACAACTTCAATGTGTCCGTGGCAAGATGCTGTAAAGAGCGGCGTGAACCCCGTTCTGGTGCTCTGGTCTTTGTCGGCACCCGACTCAAGCAGAAACCTGGCAACCTCCAACCTACCATTCTGGCAGGCCAATGCCAAGGCTGTCAACCCTGTTCTCTCGTCGCCCTTGTTCGTGTCAGCACCGGCCTCCAGCACTAGCTCCACAACATCCAGATGGCCACAACAAGCTGCAACGGCAAGTGGTGTTAGGCCTTGTGAGCAGTTGGGGTCGTGGCAACTTTGAAGCATCTCCTTCATCACTCGCACATCACCATGGATCGCGGCGTTCTGGAACCGTTGCATTTCTTGTGCTGAAGCCTCCCCGAAGCGCAGCAGAACCACGAGGAGATCGACAGGCGATGTAATCTCCTCAGAGTCTGCTAGAACCCTGCCGTCGTGAAGTAGCTTCTGCCTGTAACAGGAGATGCCATGTACCCGTTGCAGATGCCTTTTTACAGAAGCTATATTGGAAGCCTGCTCTGAGCGAATGGCCATTACCAGTTCTCCCGAGAATGAGGAGAATACACGGAGCATATTGATCGATGGAGTTGTCCCTAAACCCTAAACCCCAAACCGTGCCCAAGGACTTGACAAATTGGAACCGGGTCCATTGCAGTGTGATTACGTTCAAAGCTTGGATTTGGGCTGCATTCTTGCCGCTATGCCGTGGAATGGTCAGCTGCGACGTGCGCCACTGTGTAGCGGTATAGGGTTTAGGGTTTACGGTTTAGGGTTTAGGGTTTAGGGGTAGGGTCTAGGGTCTGAGTTCAAGGGTGCACGGTTGAGGGTCCGTTTGAGTGTCATGAAAGCTGCTTGGCTGTTGACGCGTGTCGGCTTGGCAGAAAAACGAGGTCATGCCGTGTGCACTGTCAGAGCCGCCATTTTGAGGTATACAATCGTCTCTCTCAAACGCTACCCCCAATGGGCAAAGGGAAGGGGCCATCACACAGGGAACACAAGGGAATACCTTTAACGCAATACTCCTCAACCCTTATTTTGTCTTATAGAAGCAGAGAAACCCTCAATGAACCCTTACAGATTCTGACTCGCTGAAACATTTCCTCGACATCAGCAGCCAAAACCCTTTACCGACCCAGCCAGCAAAACCCCACACCATCAACCGCTAAAACCCAGAAAGCCCTGAACAGCCCTAAACCCAAAGGCCCTGAACCCTAAACCCGCATCCCTCACATCCTCAAGTCGAAACATGAAGCCCTAGACCTCTGGAAACCCGCTCACACTGTCACAGCACACAAAAAGCACATGAGGGGGTTGAGGTCTGATTTGAAGAAACCGCTGGTACGAAATCTATCGCTGCTCTTACAAAATCTCAGAACAACTGCAGAACACGCACGAAAGCCCATGCAGAAAAACGCTACAAACGCCTCTACAAGCCCTCAATTTTTAGAACTCGTCTACCTTTAGCGTAATCTATAGATAAAGCCCTCTGAAACCCCAAACCCTCAACCCTAAGCCCTCTGAAACCCTAGACCCTAAGCCCTAAGCCCCCTGAAACCCTAGACCCTAAGCCCCAAGCCCTCTGAAACCCTTAACCCTAAGCCCTAAGCCATCTGAAACCCTAACCCTAAGCCCTCTGAAAAGTCCATGTACCCAAATAGCATATACTTTGGCCCCAAAGTACCTATATAGGGACTACTTTAAGGCCAAGGTATATACTAGTTGGATACATGGACCGTTAAACCCTAAACCCTAAACCCATATAGTGCCCTTAAAGGAACCCCTAAAGGAACCCTTAGGGGTACATGGACCCTTAGCGCTTCCTTGAAGAAATCCCCGCATCTCGAAGCCCTAAACCCTATGCCCTAAACCCCTAAGCCCTAAAGCCTAAGCCCTAAAGCCTAAGCGCTAAACCCTCAGCCCTAAACCCAGAGCCCTACACCCTAAACCCTAAACCCTAAGCCCTAAGCCCGCATCTCGGGCTTCCGGCTGCCGGTTGTCAGCAGCGACTGCTCCGCCCATTGCGAGGGGAGGCCCTCCAAGAGGCTGACGTAGTCCTCGCCGGGAACCCTTTAGAGTTTAGGGTTTAGGGTTTAGGGGTTTAGGGTTTAGAGTTTAGGGTTTAGGGTTTAGGGTTTAGGGTTCAGGGTTTAGGGTTTAGGGGTTGTCGACCAAACATCCGCGGGAGGTGTATAATTGTCGTGAAACGGAGCCATCGCGACGTACGTCCGATATTTTCAGAGCAAGAGAAATCCGTCACGAATGTGGAGCTCTGAATCTCCCACCCCGAGAAGCCACCCAAAACTTGTGTAAAAAAACTTAAGTCTAGAAGCGTGCCCAAAACCACAGAAAATTTGAAGCAGGCACACACAAAGAACGGCGTTGTTTTGCTGCAGAATGTGGTCCCGACCCCTTTGGGCACACACGAGCACTCAAGGGTCTATTTTTCCGATCCGGGCTCAAACATGTTGGGTTTAGGGCCGGAGAATAACTATATACAGTTATAGACAGTACTGGCAATATAGAGTCCGTAAGGAAGACTTGTACACAGACACGCACTTACCTGTAAACGGCTGTAATTATGTACCATAAGTACCAGTTACTAACACTAGAATGCCACTTGTTTACATTCCCGACAAGGTGTGCTACGCTCTAGTTACTAACACTAGAATGCCACTTGTTTACATTCCCGACAAGGTGTGCTACGCTCTTGAACATGTGAAGGCTTAAGCTGAGCATTCAGGCTTAAGCTATAGAGCTTAGGGATTTAGGTTTTAGGGTTTAGGGTTTAGGGTTTGCGGCTTAATTAGGCTTGGGGTTTAGGGTTTGAGGCTTATGTAGTCTGGTCCCAGGGCTCCCATTTGTGGCGTAAGGTTTAGTGCCTATGTAGTCCTCTCAGCGCTCCCATTCAGGGGTGTAGGATTTGAATTTCTAAGCAAATTTGCAACACGTCCTAAACCCCAAGCGTTTCAGCATGGACCCGGTGTTGAACTCTTCCCCGATGCTCTCCCTCCGACGGCCTGGAGGTAATCCAAGAAGCAGGACGTCTGTCGTGTCAACGTCCACTCACCGAAGATGCCCCCTGAGGGTTTCAGGTGTAGGGTTTGTAGGGTTTAAACCCTAAACCCTGAAACCCTAAACCCTAAACCCTAAAACCCTAAACCCTAAAACCCTACAGCCCTACACCCTGAAGCCTAAAACCTAAACCCTAAAACAGTGGCTCTGGGTTAGGGCTTCGGAGTCAGACAAGGGTTCAGGACTTACCTGCACCCTATAAAAAAAAAACACCCCACCCCCACCCCCCTGCAAGGGTTTAGGGTTTAGGGTTTAGGGTTTGGGGTTTAGGGTTGAGGGCTCCTGATGGTGATTTCCTTACACTCAGATCCTTCAGGAGGTAAGTCATTGGAGTCATTGGGGGTTCGGGACTGTGGGTTTAACCAACCCTAAACCCTAAACCGAAGGGCATGTCGTATCTGGGGACGAGGCCTCAGGACTTAGGATGTCCAGTCTGGATCGTGTGCCTACCCGAAACACCGACATCCTTATAAAGCCCCCAGCCCTAAACCCTACACCCCCGAAATCCTAAAAGCCCCCAAAACCCTCACCCAAAACAAACAAACTCTCCGAACCCTGGCCCCCCAAGCCCCCAAACCCCTACATTCTGAAAAGCTATGCAGCACCCTCAGATGGGCAGTTATCTAAATTATGGGGCTCTTCTTGGGTCCCCACCCTGAAAGGGACCCTAATTTAGAGAACTACCCATATAAAGTAACCCTAGCAACCTTACAAACCCTCATCAAAACCTTCAGGAAGCCCTGAAAAGCCCTGAAAAGTGCCTTGTAGGACAGACACCTGGAGTCCAGATCCCAAAGCCCTAAACCCTAAACCCTAAACCCTCAATCCTCAAACCCTAAACCCTCAAACCCGAAACCCCAAACCCTACACCCTCAACTCTCAAACCCTGAACCCTCAAACCCCAAACCCTAAACCTTAAACCCTCAAACCCTAAACCTTAAAACCTCAAGCCCCAAACCCTAAACCCCTAGACCCTAAACCCCTAGACCCTGAAACCCTAGACCCTGAAACCCGAAACAGAACCTAGACCTAGACATTCCAAGAACCCTCAATGAAGGAACGGACCTTACATCATTCATTATTATTATTAATTATTATTATTCTTATTATTATTATTATGATTACTATCATTATCATTCTCATTCTCATTATTTTTTATTTGGGATCCTACTTTAGTGTGAAGGGTTTTGGGTTTAGGGTTACGGGATACTGGGTTCTTGTTCAGGGATTTGTATTTAAGTTACCATAATGGGGATCTAGAGAAAATAGTACGGTCTCTTTATTGTGGTAACTTAAACAAACCCCCCACGAAGAACCCAAACCATTCTGAGTTGCTGGGTTCATAAAGCCACAAAAAGTGCACACTTTCAGTTTCATAAAGGGGGCATATGATCCCAACAAGTCTAACAGTGCACTCATTCAGCTACCAAGTATTGGAAGGTCGAAACCCTAAACCCTAAACCCTAAACCCCTAAACCCCTAAACCCTAAAACCCTAAACACCCTAAACCCTAAACCCTAAAACTCGCACCCAAAACCTAAACCCCTAAAACCCCAAATCCTAAACCCTAAACCCCTAACCCTTAAACCTCTAAACCCCTAAAACACTCTAAACGGACTAAAACTCGCAGCCGGGCATCGCTCAGCCCTGCCGCTGCCGGCGGAGCTCCAGAGCTCCCCGAAGAAGCCCACGGCGCCTTCGGCCTCCGCTTAAGGAGTTTAAGGGTCTTTTAGAGTTTAGGGTTTAGGGTTTAGGGTTTGGGGTCTTAGGGGTTTAGGGTTTAGGGTTTAGGGTTTAGGGTTTGGGGTCTTAGGGGTTTAGGAATTGATTTAGGAATTGATTAGGCTTTGGGCGGAGGCTTGGAGTGGAGGCCTCCTCCGGGTTTAGGGTTTTTAAGGGGTCTTAGGGGTGGGTTTAGGGATTTTAGGGGTCTTAGGGGTCTTAAGGGACATTTAAGGCTTTAGGGTATAGGGTTTAGGAATTGTTAAGGCTTGCTTTAGGGCTTCATTGGGGGCTAGGAGTGGCTTCGGGGTTGAGGGGCTTAGGGGTTTAGGGGTTGAAGGGTTGAAGGGTTTAGGGGTTGAAGGGCTTAGGGTGTAGGGGTTAGGGGTTGAAGGAGGGGTTGAGGATTTCGGGGAACAGGGCTTTTCTGGCGTGAGATTCTGTCGGAGGCTGCTGAAGCCCTCGACCCTAAAACCTAAACCTTAAACCCTACACCCTAAACCCTAAACCCCAACGGCACGTTTGTGATGAGAAAAGAAATTGACGGGCACTCCTTTCTGTAAGCATCTGGGCGGTTTAAGTTAGGGTCCCCTTTCAAGATCCCAAATTTAGTACGGCACCCTTATAAAAAGGATCCCAGAAGGGACCCTACCATAGAGAACTACCTATGTGGGTGGTTGTCAAAACTAAGGCCCGTTTTGGGTTCCCAAACCATAGGAGTAGCATGACATGGGGTTTAGGGTTAGGGCTGCCCAAAGGGACCATGATCTTGACAGTTG